GGCTGCTCTCCTGACGCCCAGAGCCCTGCCATCAGCGGAAGGAGGAGGCCTGCCATGAGGCCCAGGGTGGGGCGGGAGGGGCTTTAAAAAGTTAATTGTATTTTGATCTCGGCTGTGACATCCGTCCTAATGCTATTGGGCTCACAGCTGACAGCCCCCGACATATGGAGGGAGAGGGGTAATAAGTAGTTTTAAATTGCAGCAGCGTGGCAAAGGGGCTGGGAAATCCAGAGTCTTAAGAAGAGGGAGAAAGAGGAGAGAGGAGGAGAGAGTGGAATCGAGGAGGAGGAAGTATTCTTCTCTGGGAGGGGCGGGGTCGCTCATCATTCATTTTGTTTAACAAGCCAACCTTTATTGGGCACCTGCTGCATGCTTGGTACAGGCTCAGCCCGTGGAGGCTCAGATGCCCAGTCAGGCTATGGAACCCCCCTCCCCCCCCGCCCCCCTCCACAGCACTCAGCTCTTCCAAATCCTACTCCTCTTTCAGGGTCTAAGTGATAGCTCCCCTGAGGGCCCTGACCTCCCAGCCGACTGGTGCCGACTGTCCCCTAAATCCTTACCTACCTGGTCCGGCTCCTGCATCTGGTCCCCAGCACTTGTGTTTAGCAGAGCTGTGTTCAGAATCTGCTCTCTCTGCTCCGTCCAGCTTCTCTCCTCTTCCCACATGTCAGGGTGGGTTGGGAGGGTGTAGATACAGCTGTGCTGTGGACCCTGGAAAGACTTTGGTCCAAATGGGATGATTACAGGTGCACAGGTCCCTGGGGCCAGATGGTTTTGGAATTTAGAAGGATAATATGGCACAAATATGATATATTGTGCAACAGCGCCAGGGGGCCTGGGGCAGTATCCCCAAAACAATACGCTGGCTCAGGTTCCTGTGGTGAAACAGAGTATCTCCCACCGAGGGAGCAAGACAGTTACAATGACTCGCTTTCACATCAGGTTTTGCAGCCAAATGACTTTGCCGAAAATTTATGGACAAACTGGTTTTCAGAGCCTGTTGGATTTTGGAATTGTGGAAAGGGGATGATGGCTTTAGCCAACTAATTAGTCCAAGTCAAAGGTCTGAGAAAGTTCCAGGGGTTGTGGGAGGATTCCTGAGGTTGGACCCATACCAGCCTCAAAGGAGGGGGTCACTCCCTGGCCTGTCCCCGAGCCTGGCCTGGGGCAATTTCCGGGTACCTGTGTCCTTGAGACTCAATATCTCTGTGGGGCAAAGGAGAGGGGCTGGGGGTGGCCCTGGGAGGCTAAGTAGGGGTGACTTACCCCAGGGTGCTTAACCCCGGGCCTCACCTCTCGCCCCAGCTCTCCTCAACTCCTCTGAGCCTGCAGGGTGACTTAGGACCCTCTGCAGAGCCTGGGGCCATGCCTTGTCTTGTGGTCCTTCATGCTGGAAATGTCCTGCCAGGGGACAATTGTTGTTTAAACAAATTCCCCTATCAGAGACATTTCCATCTCATGGCCTGGTTCAGGGGGAAACCAAAATTGAAACCCATCAGACCCCCAGGCTGAGGCGGTGACTGGTTTCACTCCACATGGGGACCATTTCTCAGGTGCTCCAGGCCTGCCAGGCTCCTCCCCAGGTCCCTGCACCTTCAAGCTGACTTCGATCTAGCTCAACAAATTCTAAACTTCAGGATTTTCAAAGACAATTGCCCTCTCCTATTAGGAATCTTCTGAAATGGAGAAGTCCTAGAGCAGCTTGGTGAGTTTGAGTTGCCAACCCAGTGGGTGGGAAAAGGCAGGCAAGTTGTTTTCCCTTGCCAGGGAGGCCAGAATGAGAGCAGGAAGAAAGAATCTGCTGCAGCAGGAGGGAGTTAGGTCAGACCTCAGGAAGAACTTCCAGGTCATAAAGATATAAAGTACGGGTGCAGGACTTTCTATGATTCTTTCCTCTAGGACTACCTGCCTCTTTCTCTCCCCCCGAAGCCATCTGTCCATCGGTGCTGAGATGGTGTCTCCTTTTCTCTGGGGAGGCCCATGTGTGCCAGACTGGTGGATTAGAATATCCCCGCCTGAGGACCCCACCAGTGTCAATCAGGTCAACTTCCTTAAAGATTTCAGAATAAGACCCAACACCAAATCCCAGCATCCTCAGAAAGAACTCGGCCCAGCCCCTCATGTCACTGATGGGGAAACCAATGCTCAGAGAGGCTGGGCAACTCCCCCAGGTCACACAGCCTTAGCGCCGAGGACCTGGCCTCCTGCTTTCAGCCCTGTGCCCCCCTCCCAGTCAGAAAGCAGCTCTGAGGAGTGGGAATGGGACGGCTTGATGAAGAGCAGTTTGGAATTTGGGCCCTCGCAGCTGGCCCACGCTGGGGCCCCGCTATGTGATTCCTTGAGGTCACCTGCGGTCACTCTTTTCCCACAGAGGCAGCTCTGTAGTTCCTTTGTCTCCAGGGCAGGGGACAACAACTGATGTTTCTGGAGGTGTGTGTGAGTGTGTCTGTGTCTGAGGATCTCTGTGTGGGTGCGTCTCTGTGTACGTGTGTATATATGTGTCTCTGTGAATGTGTCTCTGTGTCTGTGGTGGGGGTGTGTCTGTGTGTGTGAGTCTGTGTGTCTCTGTGTGTCTGTTACCATGATAAGTCAAGTCAGCCATGAGTCAGCATGAGGGAGAAGAGGTGTCCCAGCTGGACCAGGCTGGGGGTCACAGGTGAGGGCTGGGTGGCTGACCACTCTGAGGCTGGAGGCCTGGAGGCCTCGGATGGCCCAGGACGGCTGCCCAGAAGACCTAGGCCTCAGGCTGAGACCTTCAAACTGGACGAGTCCACAAACTCAGCCATCTGCCAGCCAACAGTGTTTCTTTTTTTAACCCCTGAAAAATATAGCCTACCCAGGCTTCTGCGACACAGCTGGTGGGGGGTGGGATAATTATGGCCAGAGTGCAGGCAATGCTGAGGGCCAGGGGGTGGGGAGAGCGGCTGGGCTCCTTTTGGCTCTCAATAAACCATGGCCCCTTTATGTTCAGTTCCATTCATTCATTCATTCAACAAAAGGCTATTCAACAAAAGGATATTGAGGACTATATTCTGTGTTAAAAACTGCAGTGGCTCCCACTTCTGGGCACCTAAACACAGGACTGGGTGCCCTGCATCCATTATTTCATTCCCTCTTCATGATGGCCTTGTCAGTAGGGTCCAGGCTCTGGCCCTTATGGACCCTTGGCAGGCATCAGACAAAGCACCCCCATCTTTTAGGCAGACCCATCCTCAAGACAGGATGTGTCCCGTGTCAAGCCCAAGGCGGGCTGAACTTGAACCTCCCAGCACCCCTAACTGGGTGGCTTCTTGCACAGCAACCCGGCAGCCCTGCTCTGAGGTCAGCATCATGGTCCTTGTTGTACAGGTAGGAAACCGAGGGACCCTGGGCAGGAGGACCCAGGTATGCTCGGGGTTTGGTTGGAACCCGGGCAGGCTGTTCCCAAGGCCACGGCCTCTCCAGGAGTGACTTGAGTTTCATGTTAGCCAAGAGCAGTGCACACATGGTTGGGCAGAGCCGGCAGACAGCAGGAGCTTTGGTGGCCTTAGCTCATTCATGCCTCTCTAAAATGTGTCTGGCCGTGGTGCACATGGCCATGGGTGCACTCTTCAAGGGCAGGGTGCTCTCTTCAAGGGCAGGGTGCTGTGCTGCCCTCTGTGTATTCCTGGGACTAGGAATGCAGCAGGATCTCGGTCAGTGCTGGTTGCATCAAAAAAAAAAAAAAAAAAAAAAAGGGAAGAAA